GGTATGTGTGTGTGTTTCTGTGTGTGATATACATGTTTATGCATCCTCCCCGCCAGATCAATTTAATGAAAGGGAGAGAGGAAAATGCATTAACTCAGTAGGATCAACACCTTATAGCAAATGCTTACCACTGGTTCCTTGGGTTTAAAGGCCTCATATCTTTGGCCTTTTGGGAATACAAGGCAGACAGCAACGTGACTAATGTTGTTTTTTTATATAAAAAAAAAGATCCGAATTAAAATAGTCAATGCCAGTTCTGTGCACGCTCAGGAGTACCATGTACATTGACTCATGAGGGTGTGTCTATGCATTGGGGGGGGGGAGTGTTTGCTGTTCCAGGTCAGCCAACAAAACGTATCGGGCCGGCCTTGGTTGGGTTGAAACAGCATTGAGGAATCTCCAACTTGCGTACCTCAGGGCCATGCCAGACTACCCCATTGGACCCAAGAGGCTATTTCAGCCAAGCCAGGGCAGCCTGCCCCTACACTTGGCATCGTATATGATCTCAGGTGTGGGGCAGTTTAAAATGCAGTTGGGCTGAAAGGGTGGAGGTTTGCAGGCCCTGCTGGTCAGCAGAGCCTGCAAAGCCCCGTGCGAAGTGCTGTGCAAGGGGCTTTGAAACCACAAGCAGCCATGAGAACCTAAGAAGGACGCTGATGGATTCATTTAGTCCACCATCCCCACAGTGGCCAACCAGATGCCTGCGGAAAGTCTGCAAGCAGGATGTAAGCGCAGCAGCCCTTGTGCCCTCTGCAGGCTTTCTTGCGAGACTTGATTCACATAGGTTGGGGGATATAAGATCCCCAGCAGGACCCCCACCCTTTACACTCACGGGCGGAGCGAGGAGCGTGTTGCTTTTGGTTAACACTCCGTCGCGGGGCCATCCAATTTGGACTTTCATTAGTGCAGTTGAAAGGATTGCAGTGAAAACTGTGATACAAAAGATTATGCACCAGCCAGATTGCTCTGCATTATTTTAAATTGCAGACTGTGTCCTTATTCTTTATTAAGAGTAAAGTAACTTTAAGCAGTCTGAGGTTATCAGGAGATAATCACGTCCCCAGGGTCTTTATGGCACTTTGAAACGTAAAGATTGTGATTACTCTGTGATTGCTATGCTGCTTATTATTCTTTACTGCTTAATAATGGGACCATAATATTGTTTTTGGATATAGCTAGCTGAAAACCACTCTCCCAGTTTTAATCATGCAAATGGTTACCGTTTTTACAAATGCAAAAGGGGCCATTGTTTGAACTGAGTGGCATAGTGGTGAGTTCACATTGTAGTCTTCCTTCTCTTTCTAGACGTAGGCCAGGAAGGATTTAAAAGAAACCACAAAAACACGTGGACCAAAATGACTTTTCCAAAAGGTTGTGTGCATTTTCCTTCTGCTTGCTCCCCAATTTCTCTTATAGCAAACCCACCCTGGGGGAATTTATATTTTCTCACCCAAGGTGGTAGGATTCACCAGCTGGAACTTAAATACTTAAAGTCTTCCAAAACTGCATCCTTAAACTGCGGTCCTGGCATTCTTTGGCCTGGCCTGCTTCTCCTTCATTTCTTGCTCCAATTTGTGCAGCCAGATGTTGACCCAGTGTGTGTGGCAGCTGCGAAAAAGATAAAAGTCTATGCTTGGGATCACTACGAAAGGAAAACTGCTGATAACCGTAATGGCATTATACAAATCTATGGGGCGGCCATGTTTGGAATACTGTGTGCAGTTCCGGATGCCTCGCCTCGGAAATGATATCGTGGAGTTGGGAAAGGTTCAGAAATGTGCAACCAAAATGTTCAGAAGGACAGAGTGACTCAACTATGGGATCTTCTCTAGGAGGTAGTGATGGTCACCAACTTGGATGCCTTCAGAAGAGGATTAGTAATGGCTGCTAACCCTGATGACTATGTTCTCCACCAGCTGTTGGATGCAACATGCCTCTGAATACCATTTGAAGGGAATCGAGTGGAACACTGGAAATTGCCTGATGCTGAGTCAAATCCATTGGTTCATCCACCTCTACAGTGGCTCTCCTGATTGAAGTGCAGTGTGTTTCAGGACCGGGACATTCATGGGGAAACCAAAACGCTTGTTTACAAAGCTGTTGTACTACCAACCTTACTGTATGCTTCCGAAACATGGACAACTGGGAAACACTGGCCTGCAAGCGCTCCAGTTGGAGAACAGCCTTTCCCTAAGGTGCCATGGACTTTGAAGACATTCAAACTCAGGACAAGAGGAAGAAATGCGCTAAGAGGAAGGCACATTTGGCAAACCCTCACCGGGATCAACTCCTACCCAGAAATTTATGTCCCAACTGTGGAAGTACGTGTGGATCCAGAATTGGCCTCCACAGTCACTTATGGACTCACTTTTAAAGCCATGTTTATGGAAGATAGTCTTACTTGGCTATGAGTGATTGCCAAAGAAGAAGAAGAAGACAGTGGCCGACAGAGGCTGTCTGGGGTTTCATGCATGGTTCTCCACTAGTCCTACCTGGAGATGCCAGGCATTCAATTTGGGACCTTCTGCATGCAAGGGAGAAGATCCTGTATCACAGAAGAACGGTCCTTCCATACTGCCGTGGAATCAGATTCTCAACCTTTTCTCTTTTCCTAAACTTTGCCCTTTATATTACCACTCTTAAAAAAAAGAAAAGGCACTGACAGCTGAACAATATGACCAGAAATACGTTATTTATAAAGCTAGTGTGAATTATGTTTAATGGCCTCCATTTTAAAGCAAGCCATTTGCTTCTCTCCCTCCTTCCCCCCTCCGCCTTTTTCCAAAGTCTCTGTTTTCATTAGTGGAATATAAAATGTTAATAATACCTTTATACTGTAGTGCTCAGGAGCAACATTTATCTTCCATGTTCTTTATGGAATCCTGCTAGCAAGCTCTCACTTGTATCATAAATAGAATTTGTTCCACGAAATAAAAAAAAAATGTATTGTTTTCTTTGTTAGAAGATGCTGCTAAATTGGCTGTATGTTTGATAATCACATCTCAAGCTGATTATTCTGCTAATAGCCTTAAGATATTATTTTTTAAAAAAAATAAAAATAAGTGCATCACTATAGTCCTAATACTAGTATTATTATTTTTTTGAAAAAAATCCCTTCTTGTTTCTGCAAAGTCTGAATGAGATTTTCAGAATTGAATAATAATTTGATCCGTTAATCTTTTGAAGCTAGTAATTTTATTTTCCCTTCTTTGCAGTCTCCAAGGCTCGCAAATGAATAGAGCTTCATTACTGGAGCCTGCGTTTAATAACCATTATCCATTATCTTGTAATTAAGACTCCCTGTAACGAATCATGAGGACAATGCAAAAATACATAGTACATTTCTTTAATGAACTGGAAAATGTTCATCTTGTTCTATTTAGTAATGAGTTGCTGAATGGTCGTTAAATCCACTGGAGAATGGAGCGAGATGGATTTTGAAGACTATCTTTGAGTTTGTGGTTAATCTATTAGAATTAAAATTTCATCTTCTATTTTTATCAACAGCCGATTAGAAGGCCTTCTGTTTGACCAAATTGATTAGGGGACCCTATACAAGGGCAGATGTTGTTTAATGAAAGTTTTTAATGAAACTGTACCATAGAGGTTTCTAATTACCAGACTTATAAAAGCTTTGACTTACCTTACCCTGCAAAGAGGAGGAGGAGGGGTGGTGGTGGTGGTGGAAGTATTGTGCTAAAGGGCTTAAATGCCACAATTAAATGAAATACAGGGAAAAGTAGGAGTTGGTGTGAGGAAGTTTGGCTTACTTGTCTGAAGAAGAGGTCATCAACTAAAGAGAGATCTCAGCGAGAGGCAATAGTTTGGTGGTAGACGGCACCCAACTGAAGGCTGTTAGTTTGACCTTCCCTTCATTCAGTTCCAGCCAGCATGGCCAATGGCCAGGGATGATGGTAGCCCAAAACATCTGGAGGGCCCCCACTTGGGGAATGCTTGTTTTAAGTGGAGACGCCAAATATTGAATCTCAGGCCTTCTGCATGCAGAAGGTGTCCTTTGCCACTGAGCCAGAGTCTCATCCGGAGGTTGACCTAGTAATAAGGCAGCCTCCTATGTTCTTTTGAAACTCGTTTCTGACACTGTGTCATTATGCTACCCAAGAAGGAAATACTGGAAAAATTTGAAGGAACCCAAAAGTTTTCAGAATTAATTTTTTTTAAAAGTGTTTAGGAAAATATACTGAAATTGGGATCGGGAACCCAAAAGCAGCCCTGAAGGATTGCCAGGGGCCGGGGTGGCATGGAGTATCCTGAAAAAGGTGTGACTGGCTGGCTGGGAGCCTGAACATGAACACTCCACAGTGTACCATTTAAGGATGTAAGACAAGTCTGCTGGATGAGACCAATGGCCTATCTAGTCCAGCATCCTGTTCTCACATTGGCCAACCAGATACCTGTGGAAAATCCACAAAGAGGAACATTCTCCCCTCCCAATTCCTACTTCTTTCTTTTCCTAGTTTGTTAAGGTGTTATATTCATATGACAAATCTAAAGCTTATTATACACAGACTTCTCGCTTTCTGAACACAGGAAATCGTTTGTTAGGTCAGCGTTTGCACAAAGAGCCCTCCCTCGATTTCCACCATTTCCTATGGGGACATTTCTAATCTGTGGTCTCCCTCCATGGTTTCATCTGAAAAATGGCTGCAGCCAACCAGCAAAAGAGAGAAAATCGATTTGTCCAATCTCTCCTGCTCTCTGATTTGTCTGATCTCCCTGTTCCCTCTCTCCGTGGTTCCTGCCCGAAAATGTCTGCTGTCAACCAGCTAACAAGTAAGGAAGTGGGCAAACTCCGGCTGTTCAGATACCCGAATCATCTGTGTGCGCAGCGAGGTTTGGGCGTAATTCTTTATGTTTGGATAACTGAATTTTCAGCTAACGAGCATTCTAATAGCGGGATCTGCACATACTATGAACCAGAATGATAATTTTGCTGACACATCTGTTTATTACTACTTCTTTTTTTATTCTCACCCTTGCAGGTTCTGATTTTATCAAGACTTCCACAGGAAAAGAAACCGTTAATGCTACCTTTCCCGTTGGGCTCGTCATGGTGAGAGCTATTAGAGACTTCTTCTGGAAAACTGGCTATAAGGTAACTTCATACCATCTCCGTCTTTTCATTGTAGACTGCGTTCTCCAAAGCAATGTTGGTGTGATGCACAGGCTTTGGACCATGGGTGGGGAATTATTGTAATTATTATAATTATTATTGTTTCCACCCATCTGACTGGGTTGCCCCAGCCACTCTGGGTGGCTTCCAACAATAAGCACAGCAAAACATCAAACATTAAAAGCTTCCCTCTGGCCCTCCAAACTTTGTTGGACTCCAAGTCCCATGAGCCCAAACCAGCATGGCTAGCGGTCGGGAATTATGAGAGTTGTGATCTAGCAACATTTAGAAGGCTCCTCTATCCATGCTTTAGGGTTGCTGAACTGCCAGACTTATTTATTAACTACATTTTTATCCTGCCGCTCCACCAAGCTGCCATGGGCGGCATAAACCGTTTCTTCCCCCTTTGTTTTCCTCATGACAACCCTGTAAGCAAGGTTAGACTGAAAGATGGTGACTAGACCCAGGTCACCCAAGTGAGCTTCCTGAAAGAGTGGGGGATTTGAAGTGGTGTCTCCTCAGAGCCAGTGTGGTGTAGTGGTTAAGAGCGGTGGACTCGTAATCTGGTGAACCGGGTTCGCTTCCCCGCTCCTCCACATGCAGCTGCTGGGTGACCTTGGGCCAGTCACACTTCTCTGAAGTCTCTCAGCCTCACTCACCTCACAGGGTGTTTGTTGTGGGGGAGGAAGGGAAAGGAGATTGTTAGTCGCTTTGAGGCTCCTTCGCGTAGTGATAAAGCGGGATATCAAATCCAAACAACAACAACAACAACAACTCCTCCTCCTCCTCTTCTTCTTCTTCTTCTTCTTCTTCTTCTTCTTCTTCTTCTTCTTCCTAGCCTGATACTCTAACCCAGTGTTTCTCAAACTTGGGTCCCCAGCTGTTGCTGTACTACAACTCCCATCATCCCAGACCACTGGTTGTGCTAGCTAGGGATGATGAGAGTTGTAGTCCAACAACAGCTCAGGACCCAAGTTTGAGCTACACTCCTCTAAGTTATACACCACACCACACTGGCCGGCTGTGACACAGAGCTGTAGTACTTTCTCTTTGAACAGAAGCCCAGAGACAGACAGAGGGTTCATAAGGAATAGGAAACTTAGTTTGTTTGAAGACTTTTTATCTCAGAAGAATGAGAAGCAAATATCTCCAATCTGGTATTCTAATAGAAAACTCATTCTCTTGACTTACGTAGCCAAAGCAGCACCATTTGGCCACAAGGGGGTGGTATTAATAGCTTTGGGAGAACCCAGAGGCTTGCAGAAGTACAAATACATTTGGAGGAAAAATACTACAGCAACGAAGGTTGCGAACCCTGAAAACACGCCAGTGAGGACTGTGTGTGCTTGGTGGCCACTGAGCGCTGACTGACTGATGGGGTGGAAAAGTGGGGCAGGAACAGGGATAGAATGGGAAATAGCATGATTGCAGAGTTTGTAGAGGAGCATTCTATGCAGCAACATTTTGTTGCTGGTGCGGCTTGTTTTCTGGCCATGTTTATGTGGAAGGCATAGAGTTTGGCAGTGGGTATAACCTGGCTGTGTCATCTTGTACTTCCTCTCTGATTCCTGCAAGAGAACCACCTCTTCACTAGGGACATCACACATCATTCCTTCAGCCTTTTATTCAATGGTCACTGCTCTGAGTTTCACTTGAAACATGTTTTGGGGTGGTGGTGGAGAAATGTCTGCTCAATTCTTCAGTCAGCATGCTGAGAGCACCACCGCCTTGATATCTGGCAATGTTGGCACTGGGTTTGAGGGAATCTCTGTGCAAGACGTCCTGCTCTTGGAACAGGCCTGCGTCCTCCTCAGTGCTGCTGAGGGAGAGGGTGGGGCAGGCTCCTCTTTGCTCCTGTCGCTGTGCTCTTACTTGGAGAAATAGCAGGTGAACAGGCTGGGGCAGCCAAGAGGTGGAGCAGAAGGGGCAGGGGGCTCCAGATGTCTGCTTTGGGGCTGTTCTTCCTCCTTGAGCAATGGGCTCAGCAGTGCAGAAGCGAGGCTTCGTTGGTACCCTGGACAGCTCCATGCAGGGCTCAGTAATGAGCAGAGCAGGAATGTTGTTTCAGCAGCAGTCCCCATCTGTCTGAACCTCAAATAAGAGGAGCAGCTCTGCCTCAGTCAAATCCTTGGTCTCCTCCCCTGAAGATGGGAAATGTGACCCCAGGGTCATGACCCAGCCCTTCCGCTTGGGGATGGACCTCATCACGTGCCAATAATGCCGACTCCTGCTGCTGCCAGCATTGGCATATAAACACGCGCCTGGCTCCTTTGACAGATACTTGGGCACCTCATAGAAGGTGCCATCTCTTTTTCTGTGCTGCTGTGGCAACTATTGTGTATTGTCTCAAGGCTCTGTGGTAATTTGGTGGTGGTAGCACATGTAATTTGGTCCTTCGCCTTGCCTCCGTGGAGGTTTTGCATGTCATTAAAATAACTGTTTAATTTATCGTTCATTTAAGCAGACTTTATGATGTGTGTGTGTGTGCTTAAAGTTCTATTAACCAAAAGTGCACCTGTTCAGGAAATAATAATAAAAAAATTAGATGTAAACTGAGTTTATATCCTTTTTATTAAACGAAGACAATTTTATCACTGACGAGAGATTTCTAAATGGTTTCCTTAACAAACCAATTTGGCTGCTGTACAGATGCTTTTCCAACAAGGCGTTGGCCAATAAAAACAGGTTAATGTAGAAATTAAACTTCTTCCGAGGACAGAAGCGGGTTGCAGGGTAACATTTATTGAATGATAAGCTGCGGCGGTGATATGAAAAGTGTGCAGCATAATGGGAAATAATCTTTTCCTGTCATTATTGAAGGACACACACAAATTGGTTTTTCTGTTGGGAAATCCCCCAGTCCAGAGAAACTTATTACTTTTAATAATATAAGGTGACGAGAAAAAATTCTCAAGGAGATGAACTTATTAAACAAAATAATGAAATGCTGTGAAACAGCAGGGGGAAAGTAGCCCGACTTTTTCAGCTCTTGAATGAAACATTTATTATATATAGATATATGTGTGTGTGTGTGTGTGTGTGTGTGTGGTGCATTCTGGCAGTCAGATGGATTCTGTAGAAAGTCGGCAAACAGAATGAGAGACAGGATAGTAATAGGTAGCTTTGGGTGAAAATAAATGTAATTATTTGGGGGGAACATGAATGTTTTAACTAAAAGAAACCAAACCCAAGATGGCAGCCAGAATCCAGAGGGTCACAGACAGAGCTACTCTTTGTATATCAGTGCTTCTGAGGCCCACTTCTCTGTGCATTCCTGAAAGTTGTGGGAACATGAGGAGGAGCCTCCTGTGCATTATATGAAACCGCCTGACACAGAGTCAGACCATTGGTCCATCTAGCTCAGTGCATACACTGATTTGCAGGAACGCTGGGGTTTCATGTAGGGGATTGAACCTGGAACCTTGTGCTTGTAAAACAGATGTTTGCCCACTGAGCCTATGGCCCTCCCCTTGAGGAAAAGTCATGGAGAGGAACTGTGTTTGGGGAAAAGTAAGGTGGACAAGCTAGAGAGCTGTTGCAGCCCTGTGTACAACAGAGACAGGGAGTCTGTGATTCCCCCAGATGCTGAAATACCAAATTATGAACGCGGTACTATCAATTTTCTGTTTCTTTTTAAATACAGTCGTACCTTGGATCCCAAACGCCTTGCAGGATGAAAGTTTTGGCTCCTGAACGCCGCAAACCTGGAAGTGATTGTTCTGGTTTGCAAACATTCTTTGGAACCCGTACATCCGCCGTGTCTTCCGATTGGCTGCAGGAGCTTCCTGCAGCCAATCGGAAGCCGCGCCTTGGTTCTTGAACGTTTTGGAAGTCGAACGGACTTCCAGAACGGTTTCCGTTTGACTTCCAAGGTACGACTGTATGTGTTACGCTTTTACAGAGCTGAATAAAAATCATAGGATATAAATGCTTGAACCAAAAGGGCTAAGTAGGGAATTCATATAGAAGTGAGTTCCATAAATGAGAGGCCACCACAGATAAGGCCTCTTCTCTTGAGCTTGAAAGCCTTCTAAATCTTACTGGGGCGCATGTAGACAGTCTCCAATGGGGGCAGGATAGCATCATACGGATATAGTATACAACTTTGCAGATTCCTATCTAGGCCAACTTTCTGTATTTTTAAATTCCCTGTTCCCCGTTCTTCTTTCTTAAATCAAGGTTGGCTTTAAGCCTGCGGGAGGCATTCGCACAGCCAAAGATGCCCTGATCTGGCTCTCGCTGATGAAGGAAGAACTAGGAGATGAGTGGCTAAAGCCAGAACTCTTTCGCCTGGGGGCCAGCACTTTGCTGGGAGATATTGAGAGACAGGTTAGTATTCCTACTTCTTCTTTGGCGATCACTTGTAGCTGAGTAAGATTGTCTTCCATGAGCACAGTTTTAACAGTAAGTCTGTAAGTGACTGTGGAGACCAATTCTGGATTCACATGTCCTTTCACAGTGGGGACATAGGTTTCTGGGCGGGAGTTGATCATGATGAGGGTTTGCCCAGCATGTCTTCCTCTTAGCATGTTTCTCCCTTGCGTCCTGAGTTTGAGCGTCTTCAAAGCCCATGACACCTTTGGTAAAGGCTGTTCTCCAATTGGAGAGCTCACAGGCCAGTGTTTCCCAGTTGTTGGTGTTTATACTACATTTTTAAGGTTGTTATTCCTCCTAATGGTGTATTTTCCCCCCTCCAATAAAAAACCATGTGGTTTTGACTTTTGTAGAATCATAGAGTTGGAATAGACCACAAGGGCCATCGAGCCCAACCCCCTGCCAAGCAGGAAACACCATCAGAGCACTCCTGACATATGGTTGTCAAGCCTCTGCTTAAAGACCTCCAAAGAAGGAGACTCCACCACACTCCTTGGCAGCAAATTCCACTGTCAAACAGCTCTTACTGTCAGGAAGTTCTTCCTAATGTTTAGGTGGAATCTTCTTTCTTGTAGTTTGGATCCATTGCTCCGTGTCCGCTTCTCTGGAGCAGCAGAAAACAACCTTTCTCCCTCCTCTATATGACATCCTTTTATATATTTGAACATGGCTATCATATCACCCCTTAACCTCCTCTTCTCCAGGCTAAACATGCCCAGCTCCCTTAGCCGTTCCTCATAAGGCATCGTTTCCAGGCCTTTGGCCATTTTGGTTGCCCTCCTCTGGACACGTTCCAGTTCGTCAGTGTCCTTCTTGAACTGTGGTGCCCAGAACTGTAGTACAGTGGTACCTCTAGTTGCGAACGGGATCCATTCCAGAGCCCCGTTCGCAACATGAGCAGAACGCAACCCACGTCTGCGCATGCTCAGGTTGCAATTCGCCGCTTCTGGCCATGCGTGTGACGTCATTTTGAGCGCATGTGCGAGTGGCGAAACCTGGAAGTAACCCTTTCCGGTACGTCAGGGTCGCCACGTGATTCAGTCTGAGAAGGTTTAACCTGATGCAAACGCAACAAGAGGTATGACTGTACAGACTTTAACAATTGCCTTTTGAGAGGTTTCATTTTCTTACAGTGCTGCTTATAATGGAGCCTCGCTTTTTAATTGGCGGTGTTTACCAATTAGTTCTGATCCACCTCATTTGGGGAGGCAAGGTCGTTCTGCACAGTAGTAATATGTCCATTTTGTACCATGTTATAATAATAATAATAATAATAATAATAATAATAATAATAATAATAATAATTTATTATTTGTACCCTGCCCATCTGGCTGAGTTTCCCAAGCCACTCTGGGCGGCTTCCATAGAAACCAAAAAACACTAAAATATCATACATTAAAAACTTCCCTGAACAGGGCTGCCCTCAGTGTCTTCTGAATGTCAGGTAGTTGTTTATCGTTTTGACATCTGATGGGAGGGCGTTCCACAGGGCGGGCGCCACTACCGAGAAGGCCCTCTGCCTGGTTCCCTGTAGCTTTGCTTCTCCCAATGAGGGAACCGCCAGAAGGCCCTCGGCGCTGGACCTCAGCGTCCGGGCAGAACGATGGAATAACCCATGGGTAGCTCTTACGCTGTGCATTTGTGATGCCACAGGTTCAGTTCCTGCCACCTGCTTCTCAAGAGACTCCAGACAAACAGCATCAGTCTTGGCCCTTCTTCCCACCCCCCACCCCTTTCTCTATCCACAGCTTTATTAATTTATTTCAAGTGCTGGAAGGCTTTTAATGGAGAAGGCCGAGAGCTCGAAGGGAGAGCACTTGCATTGCATGCAGAAGGTCCCAGGTTTAATCCCTGACATCTCCATTAAAAAAAACACCAGGTAGCGGATGATGAAATAGCGGAAGCCGTCAAACCCAATATTGTCGACTCTGGCTGTATTTTAATATTGTGTTGGAAGCTGCCCAGAGTGGCTGGGGAAACCCAGCTAGATGGGCAGGGTATAAATAATAAATTATAATAATATTATTATTAGGTCTATTCCCCACCAACCACCACCTGATCTTTTTAAATGGCGATAGGGGGGATGGAACCTGAACTTTTCTGCATACAAAGCCCCACACGCTATCCAGCTGAGCAATGGGAAAGTCCCTTGCTCAGCATCCTGGAGAACCACTGCCAGTCAAAGTTGACAGCTCTAGGCTTGATGGACAAGCAGCCTTTCCTCTTTTCCTTTTCAAAAAATAAAAATCTGTTGCCAAATGTGTGTGTGTGGATCATAGAATTGTAGAGTGGGAAGAGACCCCAAGGATACCTTCCTGGAATGCAGAAATATGCAGCTGATCCATATGGGGATCAAAACTACAACCTTGGGCTCTATCAGCACCAAACTCTACCCAACTAGGGCCGCCCTCTGCACTACACATTTTAAGCAGTACCATCCCACTTTTAACAGCCACAATTTCCCCCAAACAATCCCAGGAAGTATTATTTTGTTAAGTGTGTTGTTAAAAGGTAAAGGGACCCCTGACCATTAGGTCCAGTCGTGGCCGACTCTGGGGTTGCGGCGCTCATCTTGCTTTATTGGCCGAAGGGGCCGGCGTACAGCTTCCAGGTCATGTGGCCATCATGACTAAGCCGCTTCTGGAGAACCAGAGCAGCGCACGGAAACGCCGTTTACCTTCCCGCCGGAGCGGTACCTATTTATCTACTTGCACTTTGACGTGCTTTTGAACTGCTAGGTGGGCAGGAGCAGGGACCGAGCAACGGGAGCTCTCCCCGTCGCGGGGATTCGAGCTGCTGACCTTCTGATCGGCAAGTCCTAGGCGCTGTGGTTTAACCCACAGCGCCACCCGCATCCCTTAAGTGTGTTGTTAGGAGACCCCTATTTCCCCTCCCAAAGCTACTATTCCCAGTGTTCCCTGGGAAGAGAGGGATTGATTTGCTAAACCATTCTGGGGATTGTAGCTCTCTGAGAGGAATAGGTGGTTTTTTTGCAACCACCACTGGAAGCATGTAATGTGCAAAGCGGAAGACTTTAAGGGGGGGCAAGCCCCAGGACAGACTGCAATGGCTGATCCTTCACACCCCACATGCTTTGCGTGGTTTCGGTTTTGAGTAAGTGCATCAACCCCAAGTAACTTTGCAACTGCTGAGGCTTATCATATTGATGGCACATTCACGAGAGTTGCTCTGGTGCTCTGGGAGATGGATTCGGATGTGCAAAAAATGTAAACAGGAAGGCAACAGTCAGATAAAGGGGAAAGGAGATAATTTCTTGGGACACAGATGTATTAGGCCCAATGCAGTTTTTGGAATAAATCAAGGTGGAGCAGTGGTTTCAGAGGAAGCTTGGAAAAATTGTGCTTATTCCAAAATGCATTGAGCCCAATGAAAGGTGATTCACCCCCCAATTTGGCAGGACCCAAACACAAAAGGCACTTTCCACATCTTTCTCCCTGGAAAGAGCCAGTGAGGTGGAGTGGCTGGACCCACTTGGCCACAAAGCCCTCCTATGTGGTTTCAGGTAAGCCACACACTCTTGACTTGGCCTGCCTTGCAGGTCAATGTTAAATGAGCCCCATGTGTGCTTCTGTTTCTTGGAGAGGAGCGGCACACACAATTTGCCAACTAAATAAAACACGGAGCAAAGAACAGGACAGAATGAGATCATCTTGTGTATTTGGTGCTCAAAGGAGATGTCTTCAGAAAACTTGTGCTATTTTTATCGGCGCGAGTAATTAAAAGTTTATAAATGGTATCCGCCTTCTTGTTAACCTGCCCTTAATTTGTCGGCTTTGTTACACCTGTTTAATTTCATCTTTTCCATTGCTGCTCCGGTAAACTCCTTTCCTCCCCGACTGCCCTCCTCCCACTCTGCAGATTTACCACCATGTGACCGGCAGATACGCAGCTTCCTATGACCTGCCTATGGCTTAGACTAGAGACTAATTCATGATATGAAAGAGAGAGAAGGAAAAAGAAGAAAAAGGGGATACACAGAAGAGGCGTAAGCAAGCGACGTCCTCGAATCCTTTCCTGCAAATGTGCTTGGGAAAGGATTAAAGGGCAAGGGGCTTCTGACTCACTTTTTCACCAAGCTGGACAAGTGCTCGTGATTATAAGAGAAATTCTGGAGTTTGAAGGTTTTTCCAGGTCAATTTTGCTGTGCCTCATTCACTGCAACATTAATACCAGCGGGAGGGGAGTGGGGCAAAGAGATGATCAAATGATTGATTTAGTGCGAATTTTGTATTAATGGGTTTGTTTTTTGTACTGGTGTTTCCCATCCAACCCTCCTTCCCCATGGCATAGGCTGCCTTAAGGTGGCCCCGAAATAAACTATAACTTGGTCTCCAATATCAGGATGGACACTGTTGCAGGCTCTTTTGAGAGCCAGATGTCTCAGACTGCCTGCCACTTCTCTAAAGCTGGGCTGCAGGCTTCAGGTCTGTTCACAAAATAATGCAAACAACAGGCATTAAAAAGAAGAAGCTCTTATTTACGCCCACCTGCCACCTCAACCGAATTGCAAGTGATATCTTAAAGTCTCCAGAGTCTCAGAAGCAACTTTTGATGTATTCAGTGGGAGCCGGGGAGGTGTTGTTAGTCTAAACAAGAACAAAAAGAGATTGGTTTATACGGATCTAAATCAGCCTCAGGTCCTCCAAGTGCTTTGGACTACAACTTCCATCATCCTTCACCATTGGCCATGCATGCTGGGAATGATGGAGTCTTAGAACATCTGGAGAGCACCGGGTTGGGGAAGGCTGCTGTATCCCATGATGTGCTCAAAAACAAGAGCCATGGATGGTTGAATTATTCTCATCTTGAGCTTGTTAGGGCTTCAACAATTTGCCTCGCCCCCCTACACAGATACAGACATGCATCTTGCAATGTGTTCTTCCTTCCTTCCTTCCTTCCTTCCTTCCTTCCTTCCTTCCTTCCTTCCTTCCTTCCTCTCTCTCTCTCTCTCTCTCTCTCTCTGTGTGTGTGTGTGTCTGTCTGGATTGCAACCTACTGTACTGCACATTGTACAGGATACACTACTTTTTTGAGATCCAGCAGGGTGCATGGCATTTGCAGCCTGCTAAAACCATAACTAAACCTCAGCTGCACCTTTATGCAAGAGTCTACAAGCACATGCCTTGGAGCTGAGCCCAGTGATTCTGGAGCACAGGTAAAGGACTGCAGCTTCCCCATTCATTGAGATATTTGGGGGATTTTTCTGAATGAGCGATCCTGACAGGCATTCAAGTGACACAACCTGCTCTTGCGCTGGAAACCTCTCCTGCTTTCGCAGAGAGCGTTGCACATACAGGAACTCAACAGAACTCAGAAATGCAGTACACAGACCCGTCCACAAATTTCCCATTTGCTTTTAAAGTCCTTTTAATTCTTTGTAGGCTGACGGAGGGAGGAATCGTGTACAAATACTGTAAAAAATTGTTACACATGCCTTAAATCTGAGCCTCTGGTGGGTGTTTTTTTTTAAAGGATGGGATTATACTTTATGAAATCTTGTCTCAACTTCTAACTTTGCAGAAATAAATTGCTTGACATTTTAAGAACATATGTTTAAATAAAAAAAAATTCTGTGCAGGGATTGTTCTCCCATTTCGCTTGAGATTAATTACCGTACGCACGCGATTTAACTAAAAATAATCGCTACCTTTCTAAAGATCAGGCCACCACGAGCTTTGTGCCTTATTTTGTTGCTGCCTTCTGCTGGGGAAGGAAGTGGGGCTTAGGCGCTGGGCATTTTCCATTTTCTCTCTTAGACTTCCAGTTCCCGCTGCCACCATTGAATGGAACTGCCAACTCAAAAAGAAATGTTTGGCTTGCTTTTTTAAAAAGAGGGGTGAAGGATTTCAGTACTGCCTAGAACAGTGTTTCTCAAAACTTGGGTCTCCAGGTATTGTTGGACTACAACTCCCATCAAACTTAGCTAGTGTTGGAATATTCTAGAAGAAACTTGTAAATGGCCTTGGACAAGATGCTAGGCAACAGAAATTTTCCCCAGCAACAGGCGTCCTTATCAGGGCATGCAATCAACCAAGTCTGGGTCAGTGTAAATGAGTACAGTGGTACCTCGGGTTACATATGCTTCAGGCTATAGACGCTTCAGGTTACAGACTCCGCTAACTCAGAAATAGTGCTTCAGGTTAAGAACTTTGCTTCAGGATGAGAACAGAAATCGGGCTCTGGTGGCGCGGCAGCAGCAGGAGGCCCCATTAGCTAAAGTGGTGCTTCAGGTTAAGAACAGTTTCAGGTTAAGTATGGACCTCCGGAACAAATTAAGTACTTAACCCGAGGTACCACTGTATGTGAATGAGTCTCTGGCTGGATGGCTAAAAAGAGGGAAAAAAAGTGTTTCTTTATTTGCTTTTCCCTCCCTTTATTAATGACCAATGTAAAGTTCTGTAAATAATAAAGACTCTGAGAAACCGAACAAAATGGTGTTTATTCCTGTAATGGGAATTTCACTCAGAGATAGCTGGAATGCTGCTGCTGCTACTGCTGCGAAGAAGTAAAAGATGCAGGAAAATGTCTGTAAAAAGAACTGCTGCAGACAGAAATGAAAATCTAAGAAGAAAGACCTCTTCTTCAGACGAAAGAAGAATGGCAGACAAAATTAATGGACTACGCAGAATTAGACAAAATGACTGGAAGGATTCAAAACCGGCGGGACCAGAGATTTGCAGAAGATTGGAAGAAATATACGAACTATTTGAAGAGCAATTGCAATCAAGAAATTACGCTAGTAGGACTACAAGAAGTTTTGTAACGAGAAATATATGAAATATTGCAAACAGAGAAAGAAGAGAAATTAGTTATGAGATTTAAAGGTAATAGTGGAAGTAAGAAATGTATATTAAGTCATTAGATTGGAAAATTTTCAGATGTGATTGATGGAAGTCAAAAGAACTGTATAAGATGTAAAAGTATGTTTGATTATTTGAAAATGATATGTTAAAAAAACCTAATAAAAATTTATATATATAAGGAAAATCTAAGAGTAGATGCTCATGCGCCAACAGCTAGCAGCCCCAGCGGTCAGGGATGATGGGAGTTGTAGTCCAGCTGGAGACCCAAATTTGAGATGAAGATGGGTAGACTGGGGTACACTGGTCAATCTCTTGAGTGATCTGTAGTAGTTTGACAAGGATTTCTGACTCCCAGTTTAACAGGAACAGTAACAGGACTTCCTGCATCTAAATAATTCTGCTGGCATAAAGAAAGCTAATTGGGAGCAGACTTGTGTGTGAAAGGTTTGTGAGCTCAGTTTTGCGCTGGTATGGAAAACAAATTCCTAGGCCTCAGAAAGCACTCGGAGGCATCCTGGTCTTTGTTTTATTATTATTTTAGCTATTTGCCTTTTGTATCCGGCCCTGAGTGGTAGTTCTTGGGGTTCTAATGAAAACCAAAGTAGATCAGAAAAGCTGGAAATCTGCCACCCTAATCGAGAAGCTGCACCATAAAGAAGGCTGATCGCCGAAGAATGGATGCTTTTGAATTATGGTGCTGGAGGAGACTCTTGAGAGTCCCATGGACTGCAAGAAGATCAAACCTATCCATTTTTAAGGAAATCAGCCCTGAGTGCTCACTGGAAGGACAGATCCTGAAGCTGAGGCTCCAATACTTTGGCCACCTCATGAGAAGAGAAGACTCCCTGGAAAAGACCCTGATGTTGGGATAGATGGAGGGCACAAGGAGAAGGGGACGACAGAGGACGAGATGGTTGGACAGTGTTCTCGAAGCTACCAGCATGAGTTTGACTAAGCTGCGGGAGGCAGTGGAAGACAGAAGTGCCTTTTGTGTTCTGGTCCATGGGGTCATGTAGAGTCGGACACGACTAAACGACTAAACAACAACAAATCGAGAAGCAGCAGCCCCTAATATCAGGCACATGGGCTTCAGTTGGGCTCTGACATTCTTAGTAAATAAATCTCAGTTTGGGGGTAATAACTTTCCTTCTCCCCAAGTATTGCTTCTCCTTGCCCCCCATCCACTCATGTCAGCCAAGTTGATCCATAAAGCCTGGCTCTTCATAACTTTGAGGAGGACCGGAACAGAAGAAGGTACCTCCCTAACTTAATTTGCTCAGTTGTAACTTTGGTTTCCTCCCGCCCCCGCCCCCCCTTCAGAGAATAGAAGTAAGTTTTATCCTGCTGATTCTGTTCTGAAATGATCAGTGGTAACATCTGGATGATAGATAAAATGTCAGGGGTAGGATTAAAAGGAAGAATCATTTTTAATTAAATACAACCTGTGCAGAAAAAAAAGATGAGGATTTGCCGGGGGGGGGGGGAGGAGGAAAATCTCCATCTGGTCAATTCTTTAATAGGGCAGATGAGAACCAAGAGGATTCTAACTGTACAAAAGGACACCGTGTTTAAAATGCCTAATGGCCATTTGAGCTAATATCCTGGCTGCTCTAAACTCACATAGAAGAAGAAAAATTATTCTGTTTGTGTCCTATATGTGATTTTAGGCTAGCTGTTACTGTGTGGTACATTAGCTGGCAGATTCATTGCTAGGGATTATTAGGAGAGAGGATTGAAAATAAAACTGTCATATACACAGTTCTGGTCATTCCACCTCAAAGATGGTAGTTGTTGAGCTTGAAAAGGACGAGGAAAATGATCGGGAGCTTGGAGAAAGCTTTTGAATGACAGCCACAGAATTTGGGACTTTGGGCTTTAGAGGTGGTGGGGGAAAGGGTCATCAGAGATGTTTGTGGAGTTGGGGTGGGGGGAGACACAGGATGGAGTTTATAGAAGTTCTCATGGCATGGGGAAAATGGGTAGAGGTTTCTGCTGCTCCCTCTTTGAGGTCATCTGAAGAAGCTGATTTGACAGTAGATTCAGGGCCGACAAAATGGAGAACTTTTTCACACACCCCATAAGAAAACCCATAGTGAACAAGTTAGACTACAGCCCCCATCCCTGCCCCATAGCTCATGGTCAGGGAGGATGGGCATTGTAGTTCGGCAACATCGGGAGGGGCCCTGTTTCCCAAGAAGACGTCTTATCAAAAACTGGCCATAACAGCTATATTGAACCTCCATATTCATATCCTGTATACTAGTTGGGACCTTTCCCTACATGGGTTGATTTGGAGCTTCATAGAGCCCAGGGATAGACAAATCTGTCATTTTTTTGTTTCTCTCAGCACATAGGAGCCAACTCCAAAGGGGTGGGACTCCCTAAACTTGGTGGGTGTCACCATTTAAATAGTGTGTCCATGCTGTGTCATGTGATCAATTATGCAGGGTGGGGCTTACTCTCCCCCCATTTTTTATTCAAGTTGGCACCCCTGTGTTTTCCTAAGCTAAAGTTCAGCTTGCCACATTTCCACATCAGGTTTTGATCAGTCTTAACCTCAAGAACATCCTCACATAAATTCATCAGCATTTTTGTATGCAACTTACCAAAATATAATGCAATTGTGTCTGTTTGTTTCACTGATGCATTGATTTTTATGCACACTTTCCCTTCAATACATGCATTTTTGTACACAACGTCTGGATGGTGAGCTGCATCACAGCCTTTGGAGAACTGAATTTGCAAACCAACCCCAATTTCTCCCCCGCCCTTGTGGAGGCATCTGGTCGGCTGCTGCTCAGAACAAGATGCTTAGATTTGACAGATCTTCTGTCTGATTCTCCAAGGCTTTATATAGGAGGTTGTGTGCGTTATGTGCTTTAAAAAAAAAAACCCTGTCATCAGCAACTCCACTTTTTACAATTTCCTATGGTGCACTGCTGTGGGGCATTGTGGGAAATTAAAATGGCAGTTTATAGTAACCCGTTACAACTTCTAGGTAAACCTGTGAACGTCCATGGACCTAGAGATGGTCCACTGAGGGCACTTTGTGAAGGCCACATTAAATCTGGAGTTGGCCTCAGAGGAAAAGTCCTAGGCAGTGCTTCCCCCCCAAAAAAACAGGTGCTGGAACTCTCCTACATGGGAGACGGATTGAAGAAATGGAAATATGAATTGGTCCTTCCCTATAGTTTGGTCAATTGTGGTTGGGAGCTAGGTGGAGTCAAAGATCTGAAAACAAAGTGAAGCCTCACACATGTTGGCCGGCTTCCATTTTGACTTGAAATGTTTGTTTTGGGCTTCTCGGAAGTACGTAAAGGCAAGAAGCCCAGGGGTGTACGAAGGGGGCAGGGGGTGGTCCAGCCTGGGTGCCACCCTGGGGGTGTGACAAGATGGCCCGCTGCCTCCCCCCCAGCTGTAGAGCGGCCAAGGGCGCACACAGCGTCTTACAGGCTGCTCCACATGCACAGTCCGCATGGGTGCCACGCATGTGCAATCTGGGCAGTTCGCCCCGCCCCTCAGCGACCCCCCAAGTGCCGGAGGGGCTTCTTCTGCCATTGGGAGCACCGGCCTTCAATGGCACCCACCTGAGAGGTGCATTCTGGGATGCACTGGCTGAAAGAAAGCGTTTGTCCTGGGAAAGGAGGGTTGGATCTAGCGAAGTAAGGGAAAGATCGGAGGAAGGATTTTGATTGGGGAAGAAAGAGACAATAGCGTACATGAGAGGTTTACAGAGGCAAGAGAGGCTGAAGTTCACATATTTATTTGAAATAACTTGTCAAATCCAGGGTTGCAGGCCTCTGTCACTGTCTGACGGAAGCACAGAGAATGACTGGCTCCGAGCCTTTTGTGAAGTGCATATATTGAAACTGCATTGTTGAACCACTTTTAAAACTCTGAACTAATGGGTACTTTGGCAACAGTTTCCAAGTCTGAAATCATTATTAATTCCTTTAGTACTGTAATAACATTGATGGAGATGAACTCTTCTAACATTGAAATTGTATAGTATTTAGCAGTAATTAACGTCCCCTAATTAGGAAATGTTGCCAAGTAGTTTTCTCTGCTGGCTCCATCAGTAGTTAAGTGCAGCTGGATGAAAATTAACCACAAAGGGAACAGCTTGCGTTTTATGTGGAGTTTGCTTTTGATTGATTCAAAAAGATATTCCTCAATGCTCCATCTTATTATCAAAAAAGGGTACATGGAATTATCAGTGTTAGAGAGAGCAAAGAAATCCACATGTCACAGCAGATGAAGCCGATGGGGGTGGGAGCGAGAAAATTCACCAGCTGACCTTGGAATTCGGTTACAATTCCAACGTGGAGGCAATTAGATTTTAATGTGGCCACCACTATCATTGACGGAGGTGGTCAGTTTGGTGGGTGAAGAGGTCATTCATCCCATTTTCAGGCTATGCTGAGGGTCTGAAGTCTTCACAAATCACCTTCTCAGGTGTTCCTTGAACAGGTGGAGGGGGCAAGAAATTTAGAATTGTGCAGGAGAGGCAGGGCCAACAGGGATTAGACCAACCAACCTCAGCCAGTTCCCGCCTGCCTGCCTTCTTACTGCCTCTGGTCTCTGTGGATGCCTTTGCAGAGCTCATCGTGGAAGAGGATGGGGACAAAGTTATAACGAGTTGGCTCCGACTCCACCTGTTATTGACCTTCCTGCCCTAAGAGTCCCAATGGGCACCAGCCAGCAGTGAGATTGCAACTGCATCATGGACTGGTTGGATGCAGAGGAATGGTGGGAGGAACCAGCTGGGGAACCACCAAGGGATGAAGGCTCAGAGCCCAGGAATGGTGGTGGGACGATGACGATGATGAGTGGCCAGAGGTAGAAGAGGGATCAGACTGGGAAGAGGAGGTGTCAGAAGCTAAAGAGGTAACAGGACTTAGTGAGCTGGGAGAGTCAGTGGTAGAGGGAAGTCCAGAATCGGAGGCAAAAGCTGAAGCAGGAGAGTGGGATTAGGGAGGCCAAGAGGCAGAGATGAGTCAGGCTGGTGAAGAGCCCCGGGTGTCTCCCTCTCCTGCTGCTACAAGCTCCCCTTCACCTTGGCCTCTCAGAAGCTGAAGAGGCATGAAAAGGGCAGAATGGGAAATGAAAGATGAAGAAGTGAAATTAGTAATGATTAAATGGGCACAGGGGGTAGGGCAGAGGTAGGCAACCTAAGGCCTGGGGGCCGGATCCAGCCCAATCGCCTTCTCAATCCGGCCCACGGACGTTCTGGGAATCGGCGTGTTTTTACATGAGTAGAATGTGTGATTTTATTTAAAATGCATCTCTGGATTATTTGCGGGGCCTGCCTGGTGTTTTTACATGAGTAGAATGTGTGATTTTATTTAAAATGCATCTCTGGGTTATTTGTGTGGCATAGGAATTCGTTCACCCCAAAAAATATAGTTTGGCCCGCCACATGGTCTGAGGGACGGTGAACCGGCCCATGGCTGAAAAAGGTTGCTGACCCCTGGTGTAGGGCATAACGTACAAATTGAAGATTGGGGGAAACTGTGGAAAGTGAATTTGAAATTCACAGACTGCATATTGCTGAAAGAGAATTACATGAAAATGATGTATAGATGGTATATTACACTGGTAAAAATGGCCAAAATGTATAGAACAGAATCGAAGACCTGTTGGAGCTGTAAAGCAAAGGAAGGTACCTTTTACCATATGTGATGGGAGTGTAGACATATAAATTTTGGGGGGGGAAATGATATACAATGAATTTTAAAAAATGTTTAAAATAAAATTGATAGGTATTCTAGGTCAAGAATTACCAAAGGGGAAATGCAAGCTATTTTTATATGCCACAACTGTGGCAAGAACATTAATAGCAAGAACTGTGGCAAGAACTTTAAAAATTGGCAGTCTGGAGAAATACCAACGAAAGAACAATGGCAAGAAAAATTGATGAACTATGCAGAGTTAGCAAAGTTAACAGACAAATTACATGAAAATGATAACAGTGACTTCAAAAAGGAATGGGAACTATTTACAACCTATTTGCAGAAACACCAAAAAGAAATTAACTCATTGGCAGGATTTGAATAAACTTTCACAATTTTATTGAGTTTAAACATGGAGGATGACATTGTAACAACACCCGGTAGTATATATACATGCAGAATATAACAAGTAATGCAATAAACCAGAAGGGGAAAATTGAGGGAAGTCGGGTGGGGAGGGCGAAGATTGTAAATGTAATGGTAAGGTGGGATTGGGTATTGGTATGTGATATATGGAATTTGCAATTATAAAACTGCAATAAAAATGTATTTTAAAAAAAGAAAAGGGCAGAAGAGAGATTGGCTTCACGCAGGCACAGTCCCCAATTGCTTGAGAAAACCCCCGGACAGGAGGGGACTTAGACGGCACTGAGGAAGCGGGAGCTTTCATTCTCAGCAACTGGTCCACGGGGAAAGATGTGCCAGGGATGAGCTGCTTGTGCTCAGGCCTGACACTCTGCCAAATCTTTGCTGACCATGTTCTTGCTAATAAAGAGTTAACTCCAACTTGCACAGTGTGATTTACTGCCAGCTGTCTCCTGACAATCTTCTGCCCTGATCACTCCATGTTCTTCTGATTGTTCTAAACCATTAACCCTGTCCAGGTGTTTAAATTCGAAATGTTTGGAGGGAGAGAGGATGAGCAAGCTTCTTCTACTTCCATCGCCCTTCATGAAGAGGAGGAATAACTTCTGAAGCAAGGAGCATTTTGGGCTCAGGTGGGTTCGCCATGCAATTTAGAAACCTGATCTTCTAGGGTTCTAGATTTCCCTGCCTCCATCTCATAGAGGCCTACAGCCAGTGTGGTTAGAGTAAGGGTGGGAGAATTCGCCCTCCAGGTGTTGGACTACAATTCCCATCAACCCTGATCATTGCCCATGCTGGCAGTGGCTGATGGGAGCTGTAGTACAGCAGCATCCACACCTTTCCCACTTCTGGATTAGCGAGTCAGAATGGACCAGGGGGACCCAGGTTCAAATGCTGACTGGGTAACCTTGGGCCAGTCACCATCTTCCAGCCTAACCTACCTCACAAAATGGGGAGGGAGGGTATCATGTCCTTGGATGAAAGGCAAGAGATAAACATAGTAATAAATAAACAGAGCAACTAGTCATGGAAGGAGGGTAGAGTTAATGTCCTCACCCCCCATTTTCATCATATGTGTTTGGGGGATTAGAGACTACATGGAGGTCAGGGACATGGTCACAGTTCTAATTCTACCCTTCTATAGGGTGGCTGAACATCTGGAAAGAGATTTTGTTGTGAGTGTGCACCTAAAAATACACTGCACGAATGAGAAAGCAACACTTGTTTAGAAAACAGGCACTGTACAAGTCAGCACTCATCAGAAAAAGAGCCAGTATTGAGTCGACTTTAACTTCCTGTGGCTTCTACACTCATTTGAGATCCTGGGTTTGCAGTCCCAAAACAAAGCTTAGGGAACCGGAGCAAAACTCTATACTTGCCTTCATCACAAGTCTCACTCTTCCACTTTCAACGCTGGCTGTGATGAGTTGTTCCTTCAAACATTCACATTCCTCAAAGTTCAAGGCTGCCCTTGCTGCCCCACAATATTTATCTCTCTCCATATGAGGGCAATATCTTTTATTAGACCATGCAACCTGTTACAGAATAATCTGCAAGCTTTCAAGTTGCCCGAAATCCTTCATCAGGCTGGTTCTTGAACAGGGAGCACTTCACACCTGAAACATTTTTGTAGAAGCTCCCATCCTTTATCCTAAATAAGAAAACAGGCCTCTGTATTAGGGATGCATACCAAAGGCATAAATCCCCCCCCCAGGGTGACTATCTGATAACACTGCTATAGTTACTGGAATACTTATATACAAAATTCACAGCTAATGCTTATGCACACGTACACACACACAATATTCACAGCTATTGCTCTTAAATTACTATTATTTTTTGGCACTCTAACCTTGAATATATTCAACAGCAGGCCACTGGATCTTGCATAATATTACCCCCCCCTCCCTAAAACCTTTCTCCCACTCCTAAATGCCCCCTGTGTGGCGCAATTGTGCAGATCAAGAGCAGTATAAAATGGAGGGGGGGCAGGGGCAGGAGATACTGTAACATTTGGCTAGCATGGGATATATAACCCTAAGCAAAGAGGCCTTTGTTGGTAGCAAAGGATGCTATCTTTGGGAATTTTGTTGAAACGCTATATGGAATGCTCCTGTTGGTGCGTCGTGAAACTTCAGAGCATATGGTGCTTCTGTTGGTAGGTGTTATCTGAAAGTTTTCAAATCACACTATGAGAGGGTCCCTCTGGTGAGCTCTTGGAACGCTTAGCAACTGTGAATTAGAAGTGACAGAACAGAGAAAGGGGGACTAAAAAAAAGCAAATGCAAAAAAAAGCAACCACATACATTCTGTCTTCAAGACTAGAGTACAAAATAAAATCTATAAATTGAGACATCTTTACAAGGAAAAATGAGGCCAACACTCCAAAGCGAAAAGAGATCTAGAGAGCTCCCCCCACCTTCTTCTCCCCTCCTAGCAAAGGGGGGGGGGACACCCTGCAAAAAGTCATCTAAATTGTTAAAATAAAAATATGGTCACTTTCTCATGTTGACACGGTGTGTTGACGAGTAAATTCAAACAACTGGTGGATATAATGTAGAGTAGCTTAAGATGGCTCTCAGGCCAGATTGCTCTGTGGGACAATGAAAAGATTGTCTTTCTGTCGGGTGCCCAAGTCCACACTTTCCCTTCTGTTTGCAGAAAAACTGCTCTTATCCAGTAATTCTCAACTGCCCTGTATTGCTTTCCTCCTTCAGAGGCCCGAAGGTTTTAAATGCAAGAATAAATGTGAGTAAGAATAGAAGCATTGTTTTGCAGGATCAAAACAAAAACTCATTAACAACGCAAACTTACATGTTTCTCCTCAGAAGAAAGAAAAACAAAGAGTTCAATTGAAATTACTCTCAGGTAAGCGTGCGTAGGATTGGAGCCTTAATCCAGCAGTTTGTTTAGTCTAGCAGCCAGTTTCCAGCAGTGAGTAACGGGATGCCTCTATAAATGGGGACATGAGACTCCTGGGTTGTCCGCAGCACTTTTTAGTGACACTGGAAAATCCACCAGAGCTTTGCTTGAAAACTTCAGAACTTCATAGAATCATAGAATTCTGGGGAGTTTGAAGGGACCCTGAGGATCAACTAGTTCAATGCAGGAATATGCAGCTGTCCCATATGGCGCTCGAACCTGCAACCTTGGTGTTAAAGCCCACTTCGAAAGGAACAGCAAACTTTTAAGCTGAAGCTTCTTTCCCCACCAAATCATTTTCCGGCTCAGATCAAAATCCAAGCCATAGAAGAATTCCCTGTTTCTTCCTCTCTTACTCTGCCAGCCCTCCTCATGCTCCAAAGCACCCAACCAGCCCTTCCGTTTACTTCTTGGCATCTGTGGAGGTGGGAGCAAGGACATTTCCTTCCTCTTCTTACCTCTATATTGCTCTGAGATGCTGGACAGCACAGCAGCTCTGAAAGAGCAGCACCAGTGGGGACTTGCCATCTTTCCCAAGGTCAGTCGCTACTGCACCAGTGCTACTTGCCAGTTAAGTAGAGGTGGCACATCATAACCACCACAATTGAGTGGCAGGAATTTTTATCTGATAGGCTTCCCATGCCAATTCCTTTGGGGCCTTCAAGAAAGCAGCGGAGACTTTGAGAACGGAAGCGTTTTTGAGTAGGCTGGCTGCACTATTTTTTGTTAAAGCTAATTTAAAACTGATAGCCAATTCTTATGCAAAGTGAATTCTTCAGTTCGGTCCCAACGGAAAGTGGCAAGCAAATAAAATAATTGATCCTAATGAAACCACTTGCGCTGAATGCGTAAGTGCCATTTAATATATAGCACTGAAAGAGTACATCAAATCATTGCTAATCCCCAACACAAAAGTGCATAATCCATTCTACTCAGGAGGCGGGCTTTTCAGTTACCACTAATATGGAACAATGGCTGGTTTCTCAAGAGAAAGCCGCACAGATTTGTCAGTCATACGCTTGACAGCCATTAAGTGCTTGGGTGGCTTGTCACTGATAACTCAAGGTAATTCAAAAATTAGCAGTTTGCAATTTTACCTAAATGGGCAAGAACTTGCAAAGTGGTCTTTATACTGTGAGCTTAACTTCAGATCCGTTTCCCATAAGAAAGCCAGTTTGCTGAGACCCCACACTGCTCATGTGTCTTCCAGTCTAATACCTTTGCCTGAAAACCTATAAAATTTCGTATGGCATGATAAACCACAGGCATTCTAGATTTGGATTCCTAAACGCCTGGTTCTTGCACCCTTAGCAGATATCAGTGGGTGCTGTTTTTTGAGGCATGGAGCAATCTCTCTTGCTCCCCACCTCCATAATGCCTAACTGAGATCCCCCTCCTGATGGCTTCGATCCAGCACACACACAGTGTCCTGAACAAAAATAGATCTGCAATGTCTCTTAGGAACGGCTGAGCAAACTAGCCACTCCAGGAACCACTTTCAAATGTCCATATCTCCCCCCCCCCGCCCCGCTTCCCTGCTTCTCTGCTCCCCAGGGACCCCTTTCCATCAGTTCTCACCTCCTTCACGCCTCCATACCAGATGCTGAGCTTTGATGGCAGCTGGGCTGTTTTAAAGTTTTATCTCTAATTAAGAAATGGAATCTTAAGCAACAGTTAAAATTTTAACACAGGCCAGCTGTGTCTACAAAGGAGCTGCTATTTCAGATGCACGGTCCTCTCCCTCTCTTACCCCCCCCTCCCCACCCCGCATGTTTCTTAATTGAAATGATATTGTAATTCAAGGAGATTCCAACTACTGCTCCAGCAATTACGGGAAGGTAAGCTTGTCAGCTCCCAACCAGCCATGAGCGTCTGGTTCTTTAAGAGCTCTGCTTGATGGCGTATCAAAGAGGTCTGTCTTCCACCGTTCAGGCCTGCAGTCATCTGGCTTCTTCATAGGGGCATTGCTAGATACTTAAAGGGCTCAGAGCAGAGACCTGTGACATTAATGTGGCTCTGGGGATGTTAAGATGGCGGCTAGTTAGGTCTTGCTGGCACTGCACTTTGCAGCGCACCCTCCTGCTCTGTAATTATTACTATTTTCTCTCTTTTTCTTTAAAAAAAATATTACAGGGTGTAGGGCAGGAGATCTAGGTCCGGTGCACAAAACCTGGAGCCTTGTTTTTTCCCCTTCTCTACTATAGCGAAGGGCCGGGGTGCCAACTTGAATAAAATGTTGGGAGGAGCAGGTAAGTGCTGTCCCACCTAATCCATCACAAGTCACGGTGCACACTCCCCATTTGAATGGCAATGTCCATCAACTTTGGGGGGGCCTGGATCCCTCAAATATTTTATGGGGGGGCCCCAAAAGGTCAGGCTTTGGGGAATCGGGTTCCTTCCTCCTGGACGTAAATGAGCAGACCAAACGAAAGGGAATTCTTACCAGTTAGTTTCTTTAATAAACACAGCGAAGGATAAAAGAAAGCCTCTAACCAGAATGGTGGTGCTCCCAATTAAGGTTTTCCCCCCATCCCTATTAATCCATGTCACTCCTATGTTTTGTAATCTGAGCTTGTACCCTCTGCGCTTTCTGTTCTGACACATCAAGGGTGTGGCTCCCACCATTCTTCCTCAGTGTAGACCTCCTCAGCATGGTCCCTGACACAAAGGGACCTTGGCCCCTAGGACTCGGCTCAGTGGTAGGAGCAAA